TGTGGGACTACATGGTCAAGGACCTTTGCATACACTTCAGAGTCAACTTTAAAGAGACCGTGTTAAGTGTTAAACGACTTTGTTGGTGGTGAAGGAGACTGAAAAGCGTGGCTGGATCATGACCTATGCAAAGGTCACAGGCTACATGTGTGGAGCAATGGCCAAACCCTCAAACCAATTTGGAAGATTCAACAAACATCGACCCTCACACTCGCATTCACTCACTCTAGGCTTGGCGTGAACGTATCTTCATGTTGGCGCAAGATCCTAGCTTCAACTTCTTCAAGGCACCACTCAAGTCCAGCTGAGCGAAGAAAGTGATTTGTATGTTGTTGAGGGTCATCGGCTCATGGACCTCCAGTACTTGAAGGACCTTCCGAAGCAGGACTGGCACCTGGAGTCCCGGCCTGAGCTCTCTTCTTGGCTAGAGCATTCGCCAAGCACCTGGTCAGCAGAGCGGCTGAAAGCCATAGGGAATGTTGTGTACCCGGATATGGCCGCCGTCGCTTTGCAGCTGATCGGCCATGAGCTGCAAGGGTCCAATTGATGGATTCGAAGTGGCTGCTTTAATTTGATGTAAAGATCAACATGATCAAGCAATTCATTTGCGAGTGTTTTCGTTCGCAGGGATTCGCTAGCAGCAGGGATGGGAATCAAACAGCTGGTTACAAACTTGTGTTGTTCTTGGCAATCAAGCTGCATGTTGTTCCAAGTAACCATGTCCATGACCGAAAGATTTTGGCTAGCCCGCTTGTCGGCGGTGGCCTTGGATCGTGGGTACTCCTGTCATGTGTTTCCCAGTACATGCTCTTTCGATTCACGTTGCTGCTTCTTCAACGCCGCCGCTTGCAAACAGGGGCTCGTTAGATATTAATATGAAACCAACCTGTCTAGCTGTCTCTAATGGATTTCTGCATCTTTTGGGCACCGAGGAACAATCTAATCACAGTCTCAAGCAATGGTTTTTGAAGCGTTCCAAACATGTTTCCATAGTACATTAAATTGCCTCGGATGCTGCCCCTGTTGATGAACCCAGTGCGCCAAAGACTAAGTGTTTCTTGCAAACATCGATAGTTATTGCTGAAATATTCTTGCAACCACAAGGACCGTGCCTTGTGCAAACACCTCTTGGATCAGTCTCAGCCTTAGCTGTATTCATCACAACAGGGGACAGTAGCAATTCAAGATGAGTTCAAACACTTGAAGCAAGTGAAGCTTCAGTGAACCTTTCAGTGAACCTGGCACTCAACTAACACTATTGCGCAATTAGTGGCCGTTTTCCCACCTGAGGCTAGATGCCTCTGGATGCTATAACCTGCTTGAGCGATGAGGATGAGAACGACAAGTCTGTCCCTAAGCCAAGCCGACTGCCTGTGCCCAAGCGGAGGCCTCGCAAGGGATTCAAGACCAGAAGGCCTATGATTCCGCTTGACCCGAAGATGCTTAGATCCCTCATCAGCTCAAAGTGTGGTTGCAAGTCAGATTGCTTTTCCCCCTTCCGAGAGAAGCTGTCTTTGTGGGACCGATGGCTTCAGCATCGCAAGCTATTGCACGCCATGAAAAAGTTGGAGAAAGACCAGCGTGTCAGGGACTTGGACTTGGCCCTTGTTTTCACCGCCCTGTACCCCCGGCCTGCTATCAGGTCTTTGCTGCAATGTCTGCAATGAAGGCGGAGGCCCAATCTGGGGATAGCCGTTTGCGCTTGAAAGTGTGTGGGGTTGAGGTTTGCAACCGAGGGTACATGAGACTATTGGGTATAGGAAAGACGCGTTTTCGAACAATCCACTCAGCTGTTGTTCGTGGTGCTGAATGCTGCCCTTATGACGGTCGGTACATTGCTAAAGGGCCCCGAACACCATCAGCTTCTTGGATGGCGTGTCATGACTTCCTCATGAAGCTGTGGATGGAATGTGCAGAGTCCATCCCAGATGGGCTGAACAGCAACAAGCGTCCCCGTCAAGGCACGCGCAAACTGGATGATCCTGCAATGTGCCGCAGCCAAATAAAACATTTGCCTGCGGGCTCGATTCGAGAGTACTGGTCTCAATGCTGTGCTGTGAATACAGACAAGTGCATCTCCCGCAAGCTCTTTAGCTGTGTACTCGGCCCATGCTTCAGACCTTGTTCTTCTTTGATTGTCTTTGCTGGGTTTATATTTTACTATAAATACCTTTGGCGATAGGATCTTGACTTCGCGTCGACATCTTGGCCATTCGAGGTGTGGCAAACCGCGTTTGCGGACAAGCTACGCATTCGTTTCAGCACGCATCACAAGAAATGCAATACCTGTTTGAGACATCGGCTGATATTGAAGAAATTGGGGAATTGCGGCCCCGCAAGGCGGGCTCAGCAAAGACTGCTGGACGCGCACCTGAGCCGACAGTATCAAGATCGGCAGATCTATTGGGCAGCAAGGGCACAAAGCCGAGTGCAATCTGTTTACCCCAAGCCACTGACAATATGCGCAGTGATCGACGGCATGGACAGCGCGAAACATTCGTGGCCAAGATCTTGGAAAATGGCCTCGAAGGAGTTTGCTGGCCTAATCCGGCCAAAACTTACGCACACCGCCATCATTTGGCATGGACATGGCGTGACGATCAACCTCAGCCCTCACTATTTGTCTACGAACAGTTCGCGCTCCTGCGAGCTTGTGGCCAACGGCATGAGCACCCTGGGCCGTTCTTTAGACATGTCATGCATACACCTGCACCTGCAGTCCGACAACTGCAGCAAAGAAACCAAAAACAACGGAATGATCCGTATGGTAGGTACCTGGGTGGGGTTGGGCAAGCTGCAGTCGGCTGAGCTGGACTACCTTCAATCCGGGCACTCTCATGAAGACGTCGATTGCATGTTCTCCCAGCTGAGAACTTGGATTGAAGGGAACCCAGAACTGGAAACTCCAGAGAAGTTCCAGACCTGTCTGCAAGAGTTCTTCCGTGACAGCACGAAGAGACCACACGAAAAGTCCCGCACAGTACAAATGGTGACGCGGTTCAGAGATTGGCCGCTTGAATTCCAAAGTACGATTTTGGCTTTTGTTCAACGCTCTTGCTTCAGGCGCTCGTGCTCTTGAACAGGTGTCGCTTCTCACAGAAACGTTCTTCGTAATCTTGTCGGAAAGCCGGAGTTAGGGTGCCTTTGTTTTCATCAATGGAGCGTAGGTACAGGTCCACATGCGGCGTCTCAAATACATAACCCGCTGGAAGGAAGAATTTTCTGTCGGAGCACTTCGGTCACGCACATATATTTGGACTTGGCGGGCCAGGAGCCCCTCACTCTTTCAAGCTGCGAAGAATGGGTGACACAGGCGTAGTTTCTTCTGATGTAGGTACCTTTCCTTGCAGCCAACAGCTTTCAAGGTTTGCATGTCTTTCCAATACTGACTCCACTTGGATCGTCATTTTGGCACCGTTCGCAGGCTTCAGCCGTGATCAGCTGGACAACAAATTTTGGAGGAATGTTCCATACCGTCCAAGTGCTCGTGACGTTGTGTTACAGTCAGGGGCTCAGGTGCTTTGGGCCCGGGACTTTCCTACTATATTGATTCAACAGTTCTTATAAGGACAAAGCAGTACATGTCGGATCCATCCTACAGCCAGCCTATGCTGTACCTCCCTTGGGATGTGGTGCGATTGGCAGTGGGGGAATCCCCTCCAGGCTGGTTCTAATGTGTTCACACAACACCCACTTTGTTCAAGAAGGTCATAGGCTTGTGAGTCTTTGTTTGCAGCCTACACTGAGCCGCCGACAAACATTGACAGCAAAGAGAACAAGGAGTTCAGGAAATACGCCAAGCTTATGCGCTCGGGCCTTGTTGACCATTGTTGATTCCTTTCGAACTTTGGCAATTCGATGCCTAACTTCGAAGACTCTTAAGGCAGTGAACATATGTCATGAACTTGTGCATTCATGTGTGACGTCAGGGGAACATCCATTCGACATGCACGAAGCTGCGCAAGCGCTCGAAGACATCGCTAATGGTGTCCCGCAACACTCCCCATTCTTGGATGTCAGTTGGTTGGGGCCCCATTTTTCAATTTGAAACAGCACTTGCTGGGATTCAAGGTTCAGTGCTGTCATATTGTCCATGTGTCTGAGGGCACTGCCGCAACCTGGGCCAACTGTGGGCCTGGCCATTCCGGCGCCACGAGAGGAGCGCGGAGAAGATTTGGACCCCGTGCAAGACTTACTCCTGTCAACATTCCACTCTGAACCGCTAAGTTAAGTCGTAGCACCTGGGGCAACTGATGCGCCCAAGGTTGCTAATGTTCTACGCGTGGGGCGGAAGAGGCCTGAGGCTGAAGAAATGGTCCGCTACAAGGCGTCCAGGAATTGCGAGGCCTTGCACAAGGCTGCTGCCCAACTTTGGGCAGAAGGCATTCCAATGAGGAACGCTTTGAAAATAGTATCCAATGTGATCACAAAAGTGACAGACTAGTTTGTTGGAGGTGTGGGGGTGTCACACCTAAGGGCAGGCAATCTTGGGTGAGCAAGTCTAGTTTCACCAAACAGTGATTGTTCTAGTTTGTTGTGGACAAGATTGCTGGGTTATCTGCGCTCATGGGCGGTTCCATTTTGTGAAGAACTTTTCTGATACCAAAACCATGATTTTGTGAAGAACTTTGTTGCTCCCAAAACCATGATTTTGTGAAGAAGGATTTCATCACAATTTTGTGACTAGAATGGACACCGTGACGCGTGAATAAAGTGGTCGTGTTTATTCACAAAACCCAATGGAACCTTTTCTAGACTTGAGCTGTGAGAATCATGGCGAACTGGTGCCTTGAAGCGGAAAGACTGCCAAAGCATTGCGTGAATAAAGAGGTCGTGTTTATTCACTAAATCAGTATATATTTCAGCCTGCGGTTTTGTGAAGAATCGGCCATTCACTAAATGGACATGCCCCAAGCATTCCAAAACATCTTTTCTTCGAGCTTTGATTTCTTATTCTTATTAACCTTCCCTTGACCCGCACTCTTGGGCCAGGTGCCACAATGCCTCCGAAGAAGCGGACCTCAGGAGGCGATCCGAAGGCCAAATCGGGTAAAAAGCCGAAGGCGGGTGATGGTCTTGCTCCTCTTCCACCAGATTCACTGGCCATGCCGCATATGAAGATTTTTGAGGAATGGGCGTGACTGTGATGCAATCTATTGGCAGAACAAAGATCAGTGGAACCATTTCATTGGCAGTCAGTGCAAAAGAGATTCCAACTTTAAATGGTTCACTCTTTCTGTGCAAGGGCCGAAAACTTAGAGAAGCACAAGAAGACCTTGGATGTTTTCCTCGTGGAGAACCTGTCGTGCGAGGCGAGTGTGATGATCTGGTCTGAGCATGGTGTAAACATGGGTTTCGCTAGGCAACTGCCATTGGATTCTACGCTTGGTTGGAACACACTTTTCCTCCGGAAGCTGATGTGTGGTGGCCTCATTTATTGAATAAAAGAACAGTGTCGATTCCATGTTCTTACCAGGTCGTACCTGACTCCGGAGACCCTTGGGTCGACCACATCCTGGCATCTCCGCCCTTGGATGCTGCCCCATAGGGCAGACATGGGGCTCAGGGGCACTGCAGACAGCGTCTGAGCCTCAAACAGAAAGTTCTTAGTCTGACCACCAGCCATGTTTTATTCTTTCAGGAAGTGCAGCACAACCTGTGCTTGCTGATCTTGCTGAATGGCTTCCAAAGTGACCCTAACAAACCGGGAGTTGAGAAGCTTACAATGACCAGCATTGTGAACCACTGGCTGTCTTCTCCAACCACTCAGTATCGACTTCGCGAGGATCTTGGCATGGATGAGACACAGTGTGGTTTGCTGGGTCCTTCACGGCTCTTTGCAGTGAAGGGCTGGAACAGGTGCCTTTCGCTGCTTGGTGTCCTGTACTGTGGCTTCACAACCCCGAGCCTGATCGAGGCTGGGTAGTGTATTTCCATCCAAGTTTGTGGAATTTAATTTGCTTTTTGGTGTTGAGAGGCCATGCCAATCGATGTGAAAAGGACCTGGTCTTGTCAGTGATTACTTTAAGTTCTTATTGTTGTTGGACAAGTATTGTCTTCAGGAGCATGAGCACGATCCATGCGAATTCAGTTGAGCCGGACCTGATGCGATGTGTAAACACTTCGCGAGGAGCCAGCGCCATGCTTTCAGTGAAAGCTCATGATCCACTATCAGTGGCATTCTCTGCATGTTGCAGGAGTGACGTGCAGCACGGTGGGCATCCGGCGGCGCCCCAACTGCTTCAACATTGTTCACCAACTAGAGTTGTTGGTGCGGTCAGGCTTGACTGGACAGAACGCCATCGGCTCATTGGAGGCCAGCGGTTATGTGTTGCTTGCCAGCAGTTATGTTATGCGCGTCCGTGTGCAGGCATACGAAAGTGCAGCCCAGATGGCCTCTGTCTATTCATTAGGAAAGCAGGAATCCACGGCCGCAGTGGCACTCCTTCACAAGATCCCCGGGCCCATCAAAGCGGCCCTTACGGAGATGGTTAGGCGAGGTGTGTTACCCATTTGCGAGACTTGCGTATTGCTGGAATCAGCTTTGTCCTGGCTAGGCAGTATACAATGCCTCGATTTATCACTCACGAGGCCGTCCCTCTCTTGAGTGCTCGGCATTGCACGGCAACTGGAGCGTTGCTGAACTGGAAGACAGAGCTTACAAACACTGAACCTCTCCTTTGGCTGGTTATCAATAGGATGCAGGCTGATTGGCTGGCCCTGCCAATGAAGTCTCGGAAGCCATGGGGTATGAAGGACATTGACTCTTTTTTTTGACCTTCAAACAAATTTGTTGACCCCCGACAAACAACCTCTTTTTTTAGGGTTGAAGAGGGTGCTGGCAAGTTCACTCGAACCCGCCCTGCCTAAGACTCAGGAAGCCTTGCAAAGGAACTGCGGAGGCTTCCTGTGCTGCCTGGATGTCTTCTTGAGCAAAGTGCCCAAGGACTTTGCGGACAAAGCTCTCGTAGAGATCCACAAGTCGTTTCCACGATGGAAATGTTGTTTGCAATGTCATGAGTGTTTTCTATGTCTTCCTTGAAACCTATACTCGCCATGTCAAGGTTTGAGCTCCGTCATGGGGACGCGGATATCAGTTCGATGTTGGAAAACGCAGTTCCCCCCGCCGGACCTTCACAAGATATCCATCTTCAGCGTCCACCTGGAACGATGGGGCCAGCAGGCACTTGATCTAGAAACATACTTGATCTAGAAAACGCGAATGGATCTAGAGAATGTGAATGGATCTAGAGAACATGAATGGATCTAAAGAATGTGAATGGACCGTGAATGGATCCGCAGGCTGAGAAAGAGACCAGAGATCGGGCTGCGGAGCACCTTGGCCGGGAATGGGGCTCAAAACTTGATCCCTTTTGCATCGGTCTTTTTGTTGAGGCTTTCAGCCCAGTTGCTTCAAACAACATTGGAGCAAACCAAGCACACCTTTTCATGTGACTTGAACAAGCTGAAGCAGTGGGTGGCCCGATGGGATACCTATGCATCTCAACAGGCAAGACACTTGATTGGTATGGAAAAGGAACAGATCAAAGAAAACTGCTTCAGTGTTTCTGAAAGTATCGCGCCCGATGTTTCAGGGTCTCCTCGACTACAAATACATCCAAGACCGTTTCGAAAAAGGGAAGCAGGTGTGCAAGACGCTGTTGGATGACCTGCAAAAAACTGTTTGCTGTGGGAGCCTGCAGCTGGGGCACCCGACCATCGTGGCCAGCCAAGCAGAGATGGGGCCTGACACGTTTCTCAGCTGCTCTCTAATGAGACAATTTGGCATGAACAAAGGGTGTCACAGTTGTCATCTTTTGGGGTTGTCAGGTTGACTATCATGGTGCTTGATGCGACATTGTGGCCTTCACGCGCTTTGGATGAGATAGTTTTCAATCACGCCAAATCTATAGTACCCATTTGGACAGAAATCGTGCGCTTTAACAACTCGAGCCCTCAACAACTTGTGTGCTTTAATGGCTCGTGTGCTTGTGTTTCAGGCCATTTGCTCATTGACGAAGCAGTGCAGCTATGCAGCGCTGTATCTTCGGGGAACCCGAACACACTGTGCTTTGCGTGTCTCCCACAAGTTCACTCCAGCACAAGCATGGGAACTGTGACGAAAAACCGGCGCCTCCTCGAAGATAAGCTTCTTGCGCGCCTGGATGGCAATTAGCAGTTGGCGGGTCTGCAGACTAGTTCATTGCAAACCAGCAACCTTGTGCATGTCCCGAGTCAAATGAACACATGGGAGATTGCGCTGAACTATGCGCCGCCGGAGCATGGAGGTGATCGCCGCAAGACGAGCCAACAATGTGACCTAGTTGCGTTGCCTCCCAAAACGTGCTTTCTTGTAGCCCAATTCCCATTTCTAGATAGCTTTAAGCAGAAACATGTTCAATTCCTTTCAAAGATCTTCAATTGGCATGTCCAATGCAGGCATTGCAGGTTCGTGTTCAACCAGTGGGGTGTGGCAGAAGAGTCGCGCATTGCTGGGTTCAATCTCCAACATTCCTCGCAGCAGAGTCCAGGATTTGCAGAACCCTGATCCGGATCACCCATTAGCTCCACACTTTAGAGTTTCTTTCATCAAGGTTTAGATCTCCATATTTTGGTTGTTTTCTTTAGTGTTCAATTTGCAGCTCATGCTTGACAAATGCGTGGTGCTCAGGCTCAACAGAGAGGCATCAAAGCCACAACCCAGATCGTCTTGAACCTACTGGAAGGGCTACTGACATCCCCCAAGCAGCCGGTCCTCGTGGTAGACCTCTTACCATCAAGGCGCAAAGGGTTTATAGTATCAACTCAATGTGCAAAGAACGTGTGCAAAGAACCCTCTATCAGCGTCACCCTGCTAGGTTGGAGAGTGGGGGCGAGCGTGCTGGAGTCTCCAGAAACAGCTGCTCAATGAGGACGACATGATGGAGAGGTGCGGATTCTTGTTTGTAGAGCAGCGAAAGTCTTTTTTTGGCGACGGCTGCGCAGTTTTGAATTGGAAGGGGTTGTTGCTGGGATACCTTCAATGCAGTGGGGTTCTCACATTCCCAACTCAGGATCCCGGACCTGGTGCAAAAGAAGCTAGAGCAAAATCCGGACTTCTTGAAGAAGTGTCAGGAAGAGATTTTGGATGACCCCAAGTTTACCCAGAGCCTCAAGACCTGGCACGCTGGGTCCAACCCTGCTCCATCGAGTTCGACCACAACCGGGCCTGCTCCTCGCACCATTGCCACGCCTGAATGGGGCACGAGTGATGGTCCCCGCAATGTCCGAAAGCGGGCAAGTTTGGATGAGGTGCCACTCAGCGACTTCGAGTCTGGAAATGTGACCCTAGTCTACAGATTTATTGTCTTTGGTTCCTATCGTGATGGCATGGGGTGCCTCTTTTTGGTCAAACAACATGTCAAGGTCAAGGTATCTCTGTAGATTGAAACCTTATCCATTCTCCAGGATCTGTGGCATGGCGAACATTGGTGGGAAGCCGGACTTGTTCATTGTATGGACGGAGTCCAACCAGCTTTGGATCCTCAACAAGGGAGGCAGCGTGGGCAGTCTTTCTGCCCAGGAGCTCTTCGGATTCAACACTGGTACATTTGTAGAGCTTCCATCAGGCTTGGTACAATTTAATCAATAAATATGTTGCTCGCGCATGGTTTTAATATGGCAAGTCTTAACAGTCCTTGCACATCGCTTCAATATGTTGCAATGCACCATGAACCCGTGCAGGTGAGGGAGAGCTACGAACCAATTCTATTTCATGGGTCCTTTCTCAGGACAGCGCGTTGATCGTGATGTCGGATGACAAGTCCATCACCTCCTTGGCAGACCTCATTTGCAAATTAGCTGGCGAGAGGGGCGTGACTGAAGTGAGAGTGGTTGATCACTCTGTCGTTCCGAAGGTGAAGGCAAGGGATTTGCGCAAACGTGACATTTCAATACCAACAAAGTTTCAATCGAACATTGCGCAACAGAGTAAGAATTGAGCATTCGTCCCACATGGCCCTCAAGGTGGACGGTGCAGGGCTTCAATCGCCTATGGCATACCGCTACACAGTGACCGCTTCACCCCAGGTCAACAGCTTTCGGCCAAAGGAGCTCGCAGCGGATGCACCGAAGCTCAACCTCCGGCCTGCCATGTTCGGGGCCCTGTGGCATAACCGACTCCATGACCTGCCTATTGGGGCCCAACACTGGCATTCTATGGGAGGCAGGGAACGGTGCTCTTCAAACAAAAAATGGGGACAGTGGACACTTTGATGTATTGGACCTGACAGGTGCGTGCAGGGCATGAGGTACCTGCAATCGTGACACCAGTCAAGCCAAAATATTGGCTGCTTTGCAATCTCACTCTCAAGCCGCAGCATGCCGTGATGCTGCGCTAGCCAGTTTATGCCGGGGTATGGTTTGCATAGCTTCTTAGGGTGAATGGCAAGAGTGGCAATGTTATGAAGCCATTCCATTCTTCTATGTTCACCAGATCATGAACATGGTTACAAGATGTTACAAGTCTTTTGGGCCACCAGCCATTCTTAAGGTTTTGTCTCCATGGCTTTGGACCACCTGTTGATGAACTCAAGAGTAGCAGAACTCTCGACCGCTGATGAAAAGAGCCTGGCAATCATCTCCAATGTGCTCCAGAAAGGTTCCACCATGCTCCGCCTGTGAAGCACACTGCTCTTGTTTTTTTCACAGGTATTGCTGGCTCTAGCGATAAGACATGAGTGAAGGGTTCGTGTCTTTAGTGAGTGCAATGCCTCTAGCGCCCATAGATGAACTGTCGGATGATGGCAAACCAGTGCCGGAGGCGGTTGCTAAACCAAAAGCGAAGTCAGCTACTGGCAAAAAGGTGTTGCCAATGAAACGAAAAGAGGCAGAACCGACAGCTGAACCGAAGGCAAAAGCAAAGGTGGCCGCGAAGGCCAAAGCAAAGGAGACTGTAGCGTCTGGCTCTTCAAAGACTGTGAAACGCCCAGCTGCATCCAAGCCTGCTGCCAAGCCTGCTGCCACGTCTGGCGCCACTGCTCCTGACGGTAAGAAACGTGGACCCCCGAAGAAGGACATCACTGTTGGCAAGGGCCCCTACAAGAATGGAACCTATGGCTTCAAGATCAACGGTGCTCAGAAAATGTTGGTGGGAAGCTCAGTGAGGTATGAATGATTGCATCCACACACATAATGAGCAAACCCAATGTGATGTTTTCTGTCCCACTCAGTTCAAGCCCGTTGATGGCCTGTCGGATGCCACCATGGAAGAGATTGCAGCTCCATGGCTGCGCAAATGTGTGAAGTGTGAAGCAAGGGGTGTACAAACAAGATACCTACAAAGGTGTACAGTCTAGAGTTATAGCTACAAACATCGTACAACAAAATGAAAGTAAGTGTTGTTGACTTGAGGTGGCCATCCGGGATGAGCTGATTCGCACCAAAGGGGATGTTGCTGCTGGTGAATCTCTCATGGCCCATCGCCCAATATGGTTGTCCATCTCTAGGAGATTGATTTCTGTTTTTGTTTTGCTACTTGCGCTCTTTGTTGCACTCTTTGTTGCAACAACTACAGGCCGCTATGGTGGACGCGGCCTTGAAAAAGGTCAAGCCTGGAGGCATGGCCGAAAGGCAGCCAGATCCCTTGGAGCAAATTGATGCTGATGAGGGAGGGATGGAAGATGGGGAGGAGGAGGCCTGTGAGGAAGATGAGGTCTGTGAAGGTGGCCATTTGTTCGCACTGGAAACCAACTAAATCAATGTTTGCACTGAACATAATTTGTTTTTGTGTCTTCACCTCGATCTGAGGTGAGTGATCACGACGCCTTCATGTGCTGAGCCTGGATGGGTGAGCGAGGCTTGATCTAGGTGTGCCCACTGAAACCGCTGAAAAGTATTTGCTTCAAAATGTTCGACCTCTGTTTCCCGAGAGTTTGGATGAAGATGGTTTGGGTGGACCGTAGTTTTGAAACCGTGTCCATGGCATCGTGAAGCAAGACAAGCCTCAATGCGTCCAGTGCCAAAATATGTCATGCTCTTCTGCGAGTTTTCTTGTCCAGGCCAACCTTGAAGTTGGTCTTAGCAAATCACTTGCAAGCTTTGTTACAACATAATCAGGCCTATATCGAGGCATTTGGGTTCCAAAATCAGGATCGAGGTTGCATCTCAAAGCCCTTCAAACTGGAACATGGAAAACGTTGAGAAACTCATGGGCAACTTGTTTCGTTTTAGCGGAGCTTGTGGGAGACTCAGCGGTTCTTCAACAATGTTTGAAAAGCTTAGGCATCGATTGGTCAGGAGGAATGCTTCCAGGATCAAAATACACCTACGTGCTTGGGAGTGAGAAAGGCCTAGTTTCGGAAGCGGAGGATGCAATTCAAGACTTACTGCGGTGGTTGTATGCTTCTAACGTACTCAAAACGGCAGACCGGCGTGTGATAACAGGTGAAGAACTTCGTTTTGTAGTGAAATCCGATGAGGTAAGTTCATCTCCTTGGAAAGCCACCGTTTGCTGTTTTGATGTGAGATCCCAAGAGGATATCACGGTCACCTTTGAGGTGGTGCAGCAATGAGTCTGCCTTGCGCAATCCTGACTGGAGAAATGCTGCGCCTTTCATAGATGTGTTTCAATCTCTGTGGCAAACACACACACAAGTGCGCGTGGCGATCTCTGTTTTTCGTTACCTAGTTTTAACTTTTAACCAAAACAACTCGGGTTAAGGGAACTTTTTGTGCAATGTGCATGAGTGCATGATAGGACAGTTTGACCACATCGTTCTTAATTGAGACAAGTTCAGCTCAATGCATGCAATCCTTCAGTCATGCTTGGCGTCTATGCTTTTGCACATGGATGCACTTGGCCAATCTTTTGACTCTGCATGGCTGCATAGCTCCATGTAGAGCTTCAGCATCCAAAACCCCAGATGCATGATGGAACCCCAAACAAGAGGAACAAAGCATAAGGGTGCCGCTCGACGGCCCAACGTGCAAGAACGGGAGGCCATCATGGGGCTGCCAGTCGGTTACACTAAACCTTGTCTCCCGAAGGCAGAACAGACTGGTGCCAAATGGGACGACACCAGGCTGAGCTTGATTGGGAACTCCTGGCATGTGGGAGTCGTGGCGTGGTTGTTGGAGCAATTGCTTGGCCCTCTGGGGTTTTGTCGTCGACAGTCAGTGCAGGAGATCGTTGATTACTTGACCCCTGGAGGTAGCAGGACTTTACAAGGCATGCTGCTGCGTCCGCCTCTGATGTCGACAAAGCGTTTGGTAACAAGCTTGGAGAAACCGTTGTTGTTGAAGCTCTTGGGCTTGGTCTCTATGAAGGGGGGAAGATCTCATGGTGACTGCGGCCAGTGAACCACAGGTCAAGTTCCATCGCCTACGCTCCAACGTGCCTGGGAAATTGTGGAGGTGGAAAGAGGTGACCGGTTGGCAATAGCGGCATGCAGGAGAGCACATTAATGTGCTCGAACTCCGGGCCATTCTCACCACCCTGCGTTGGTTGGTTGTTCGTCGTGGAGCTCATCGCCGTCGCTTCCTTCATTTAACAGACAGTCTGGTGTGCCTACATAGCTTGTCGCGTGGTCGGACTTCGTCCCGGAAGTTGAGGCATGTCTTGAAGCGTGTCAACTCCTTGATCCTTGCTGCTGACCTACACCCAGTGTGGGGGGTATATCCACACTTCCCAGAACCCTGCGGACCGCCCTAGTCGGCGGCCGCTGCAACGCAAATGGGGAAAGTGAGACAGCAATAGAAGGTCACAGCAAGGAGACACGTGCACGAAACCGACAAGCTTTAGGAACGTTGAGAGAGCTCACAGTACAGCCACAGACCCGGAAACGTTACAGCCAAGCCAAAAACAAGTTCTATGACTATGCCAAGTCAAATGGATTGACCATACCAACCAACTACTCAGCTTTCGATGACATGTTGGCCGACTATGTGGAACACTTGTGGAGTGCGGGAGAGGGGAGAGCGCTAGCAAGCGATACGGTCGCTGCATTTCAGGATACAGAGCCTCGGTTGAAAGGCAAACTCCAAGTGACTTGGAGGTTGTTGAAGACGTGGCACGTAAATGAGGTGCCGAGTCGTGCTCCGCCTCTCCCGGAGGAATGCCTCTTTGCAATGCTGGGATGGTGCTTATTCCACAAGGAGTACGCGTTTGGTCTGAGCCTTTTGCTGGGTTTTTATGGATTACTGCGTACGGGGGAGATTCTCGGGCTGTGTAACCACCATATCTTGATGACATCTCCCGATAAGCCTGCAGTGATTTCATTAGGTCTGACCAAGTCCGGCAAACGTGCTGGAGCAGCAGAGAGCGTTACAATTTCTGTCACGTGTGCTTTACAATGGCTCTGGGCCTGGAAGCGCACATCTCCTGCACACAGCCCTCTAACCCCCAAACCTCACCAATGGAGGAAGACTTTCAGTGAGTGCATCAAGGCGTTGAACCTTGAAGAATTCGAGTTCCGCCCCTACAGTTTACGTAGGGGGGGGCGCCACGTTTTGGTTCGGGCGCCACGGATCTCTCGATAGGATCATTGTCCTTGGGAGGTGGGCGGCAGTTAGAACTGCCCGCCTTTATATCAATGAGGGTCTTGCTTTTCTGGCCAATTTAAAGGTCCCTAGGAAGTCCATCCTTCCGTTTGTTCGCACGTTTCACCAGCATGACCTTACGAAGCTTGCGCAGACGCTTGAGCGTGCTAAAGCAGTTTACGGGGAAGTGGAATAGGAGGGTGCTGTTGTGTGAGGAGGGAATTCGTTTTTTTGTGTCAACTAGAGAAAGACC